CCGCCCGCTGAGGAAGGGAGAAAAAAAAAAAGGGGGGGATTTTTTTTTTAAAATGTGAAAACAAAAGAAAATAAATGGAGAGATAAACAACGAAGAAAATAAGCTGAGACAATGGCAGAGATTAAAGGAATATGAGAGTAGATAAGGGTGCTGCTCTCGTTCCGACTGAAACCAAGGGCGGTAGAGAAGGAACTGGGTAACGGTTGGCTGCGTGCGGGGGGTAGCTGCTTGGAGCCGCACAAGACAGTTGCCGCGGGGCACTGCTACTACAACTCTCCGACTAGAAGCGCAGGGCCCCAAGACACCAAAAGTGGAGCGCCAACAGGGACAACTCCTTGAAGAACCTGTTGCTTCTTAGCTTTAACCTGTTCCTAATAGACTTAAATAAGCCTGCTGTAAGCCAAAATAAGGTCCTACACAATCTTTCGTGTCAGTTTAACAAAATGTGAAAAAAATCACACCTCAGGTTAAACTGGTACAAGCTTTCATGTAGACAAATGCTAGGAATGCAGCTCTCAAATCACACCAAAAGGAACTGGTCGATTTGATAGTGATTTAGAGACTTCCACTTTGTTTCAGAAAGCAGAGTCAGATGGACCCTACAAGACTGATGCTTAGATAATAGGGGTAAAAATGTTTTCTTTAGCCCTCCTCTTATTAAATTAGATCATTTTACTGTTACAGTTTCAAAGCAACAATGTGAACCCACTGAGGCCCAAAATTTGAAAATCAATGCAGTTATCTGGGTTCTAAGTAGCTATTAAAAGTGAATTAAAAGACCTACCAATGCATTGCTAAATGTATTGACCTTTTACCATTTTCAGTCTGACCAGAAGCTGTTTTAGTGGGATGTATTAAAAACCTAAGGTGACATCTGGGCCCCACTGAAGTCAAAGGGAGTTCTACCATTGATTTCAATGGGTCTAGAATTTCACCTCTAGCATACAGCTTCATCTAACTGATCTGCAACCACATTTAACAAGTTAACATTCCGGCTGATGGTTTGCAAAGTTACTAGCATACAAGCTGAAGTTAAAAGGACACTCAAAGAGTTTAGGCCATGAACAGATAGATTAAACACAAATTTTACAATCAAATAGAAATGTTTTCATAATTTTTTAAAAAAATATTTCATAGATTCATAGATATTAAGGCCAGAAGGGACCATTATGATCATCTAGTCTGACCTCCTGCACAATGCAGGCCACAGAATTTCACCCACCACTCCTAAAAAAGACCTCACACCTATATCTGTGCTATTGAAGTCCTCAAATTGTAGTTTGAAGACCTCAAGGAGCAGAGAATCCTCCAGCAAGTGACCCGTGCCCCATGCTACAGAGGAAGGCGAAAAACCTCCAGGGCCTTCCAATCTGCCCTGGAGGAAAATTCCTTCCCGACCCCAAATATGGCGATCAGCTAAACCCTGAGCATATGGGCAAGATTCATCAGCCAGATACTACAGAAAATTCTTTCCCGGGTAACTTGGATCTTACCCCATCTAAAAACCCATCACAGGCCATTGGGCCTATTTACCATGAATATTTAATTACCAAAACCATGTTATCCCATCATACCATCTCCTCCATAAACTTATCGAGTTTAATCTTAAAGCAAGATAGATCTTTTGCCCCCACTACTTCCCTCGGAAGGCTATTCCAAAACTTCACTCCTCTGATGGTTAGAAACCTTCGTCTAATTTCTAATCTAAATTTCCTAGTGGCCAGTTTATATCCATTTGTTCTTGTGTCCACATTGGTACTGAGTTTAAATAATTCCTCTCCCTCTCTGGTATTTATCCCTCTGATATATTTATAGAGAGCAATCATATCTCCCTCAACCTTCTTTTAGTTAGGCTAAACAAGCCAAGCTCCCTGAGTCTCCTTTCATAAGACAAGTTTTCCATTCCTCGGATCATCCCAGTAGCCCTTCTCTGTACCTGTTCCAGTTTGAATTCATCCTTCTTAAACATGGGAGACCAGAACTGCACACAGTATTCCAGGTGAGGTCTCACCAGTGCCTTATATAATGGTACTAAAACCTCCTTATCCCTACTGGAAATACCTCTCCTGATGCATCCCAAGATGACATTAGCTTTTTTCACAGCCATATCACATTGGCAGCTCATAGTCATCCTATGATCAACCAATACTCCAAGGTCCTTTTCCTCCTCCGTTACTTCTAGTTGATGCGTCCCTAGCTTATAACTAAAATTCTTGTTATTAATCCCTAAATGCATGACCTTACACTTCTCACTATTAAATTTCATCCTATTCCTATTACTCCAGTTTACAAGGTCATCCAGATCCTCCTGTAGGGTATCCCTGTCCTTCTCTAAATTAGCAATACCTCCCAGCTTTGTATCATCTGCAAACTTTATTAGCACGCTCCCACTTTTTGTGCCCAGGTCAGTAATAAAAAGATTAAATAAGATTGGTCCCAAAACTGATCCTTGAGGAACTCCACTGGTAACCTCCCTCCAACTTGACAGTTCACCTTTCAGTAGGACCCGTTGTAGTCTCCCCTTTAACCAATTCCCTATCCACCTTTCAATTTTCCTATTGATGCCCATCTTATCCAATTTAACTAATAATTCCCCATGTGGCACAGTATCAAACGCTTTACTAAAATCTAAGTAAATTAGATCCACTGCGTTTCCTTTATCTAAAAAATCTGTTACTCTCTCAAAGAAGGAGATCAGGTTGGTTTGGCACGATCTACCTTTTGTAAAACCATGTTGTATTTTGTCCCATTTACCATTGACTTCAATGTCCTTAACTACCTTCTCCTTCAAAATTTTTTCCAAGACCTTGCATACTACAGATGTCAAACTAACAGGCCTATAATTACTTGGATCACTTTTTTTCCCCTTTCTTAAAAATAGGAACTATGTTAGCAATTCTCCAATCATACGGTACAACCCCTGAGTTTACAGATTCATTAAAAATTCTTGCTAATGGGCTTGCAATTTCTTGTGCCAATTCTTTTAATATTCTTGGATGAAGATTATCTGGGCCCCCCGATTTAGTCCCATTAAGCTGTTTGAGTTTCGCTTCTACCTCAGATATGGTGATGTCTACCTCCATATCCTCATTCCCATTTATCATGCTACCATTATCCCTAAGATCCTCTTTAGTCTTATTAAAGACTGAGGCAAAGTATTTGTTTAGATATTGGGCCATGCCTAGATTATCCTTGACCTCCACTCCATCCTCAGTTTTTAGCGGTCCCACTTCTTCTTTCTTTGTTTTCTTCCTATTTATATGACTATAGAACCTTTTACTATTGGTTTTAATTCCCTTTGCAAGGTCCAACTCTACTTGACTTTTAGCCTGTCTCACTTTATCCCTACATATTCTGACCTCAATAAGGTAGCTTTCCTTACTGATCCCTCCCTTCTTCCACTCCCTATATGCTTTCTGCTTTTTCTTAATTACCTCTCTAAGATGCTTGCTCATCCAGCTTGGTCTACAACTCCTGCCTATGAATTTTTTCCCCTTTCTTGGGATGCAGGCTTCCGAAAGCTTCTGCAGCTTTAATTTAAAATAATCCCAGGCCTCCTCTACCTTTAAACCCATAAATTCTTCAGTCCAATCCACTTCCCTAACTAATTTCCTTAATTTTTGAAAGTCAGCCCTTTTGAAATCAAAAACCCTAGTTGCAGATTTATTTTTGTTAATCTTTCCATTCAGTTTGAACTGAATTAGCTCATGATCACTTGAGCCAAGATTATCCCCTACCACCATTTCCTCTATGAGGTCCTCATTACTCACCAAGACCAAATCTAAAATGGCATCCCCTCTAGTCGGTTCAGCAACTACTTGCTGAAGGAATCCATCAGCTATCGCATCTAGGAAAATCTGAGCCCTATTATTATTACTAGCATTCGTCCTCCAGTCTATATCTGGGAAGTTAAAGTCTCCCATGATCACACAGTTTCCATTAGTATTTACTTTATTAAAAACATTAAAAAGGGCTCTATCCATATCCAAATTAGATCCCGGCGGTCTATAGCACACCCCAAGCACTATCCCAGGGGAGGCTCTAATAGTTTTCTTCCCCAATTTAATTGTTGCCCAGACAGACTCAGTCATATCCATTTCATCGCTTCTTATTTCTTTACATTCTATCTCATCATTGATATACAGTGCTACTCCACCACCTTTACCTTTATTTCGGTCTTTCCTAAACAGCACATACCCTTCAATACCTGTAGCCCAGTCATGACTACTATTCCACCAGGTCTCTGTTATACCTATAATATCTGGTTTCACTTCCTGCACCAGTAACTCTAGTTCCTCCATTTTATTACCTAGGCTCCTTGCATTAGTGTACAAACATCTTAATTTTTGCTGTTTGGCCTCACTCACATTCTGTACCCTATTAGGCACGGTTATTTTACTACCAGTATAACCTATTAGACTTGTATCTACACTGCCCTTCCTCCTACCTACAGCTGTATCCACTCTTACTTCATTTTCTTTCCACTCTATGCTAAATTCTGGCGTGGAGATTACCTGGACATCTCCCAACCATCTCCCCCAAATTCCTAGTTTAAAGCTCTCTTAATCAGTTTCAATTAAAAGAGCTTCATCTGGATTGAAAACAAACAGCATCACTGCACTACAGCATGAGAAACTGGAAGAGAAAAATGACCAGTCTAGCGTCACTGTCTATGTGGTCTGAAGTGGAGGGTGGGGGAGAGGGTGAGGAAAGCAAACTGCTTTTAATACTGTAGTAAAAAATAAATTGGATCTTTCTCTTTACATGTGTTTCAAAACAGATAAGGGCTAACTATGATCTCACTACTGTCCCTTTTAAAAAAAGTAGGCTAGCTATTGGATTATGAGCACCACAGAAAACAATGTTTTCACAGTGGCAATAAACTGGGGGGGGGGGGTGGAGGGTGTGAAACAAAGTGTTTATTCCCTGGTGCTGTTAAAACCCCATAGTTCCATATTCATTTGAGGAAAGATTTCCTTCCGTAAGAAAGACAACTAGAATTGGCAAACTGATGCAAAATATTTATTCCAAGTTAGTTATTTTTTGATGCAGTAGTTTTTTCCCCTCATACAGACTCAATGTGATAGTCACTTTTTTAAATCTGTAAATAATGTTATCAAAATAATCTTAATCTTTGAAATCTCACAAAAAATTTATATTTTACAATCCACCCTGAATATCAAGGCTGCAAGAAGAAGAACACAAACAATTCCTATGTCCAAATATTTTACAGCTGTACCCATAAAAGAAAACCACAAACGCCTGGTTAAGTGATGAAGCTCCCCGAGCCGCAAAAAAAATAAAAAATAAAAAATTCATGTTATTAGCATTAATTTAACACAATTAGAACTTCAATAGCCATTTTGTCATTGACAATGATTGTTTTAGCACATTGTTACCGCGCAACATTATGTAATGCAGGCGGCATTATTAGAAGCTTGTTGTTGCAAAGATCAGTCACCTGTATCCTGCTTACAAGACTGAACTTGTGCATTGCCTGACGAGGGATTCTCATCACAAATTTTCTAGCTGCACAAACTTCTATTAAGCAGAAGGGCAAAACCAAAAGAAAAAGCTAAACAAGCCAATTTCTCTCTTCTTTGGGATACAATTATTTCCCTTGTGCATGAAGTATTCAACAACAAAAGAAAAACTGAACAGACTGGAGACAGAATAAACTCTGTTTAGTTTATACAACCCCGAACACACGTTGAACTATGAACTGAGTTTATTGGGTTGGTTTTATTTATTTATTTTTTTAAATGTTTTGTGCCCACTTTCAGGCATCATCATCTGACGTTTCGCTGCTACTAGTTTCTGTGTCTGAGTCCTCCAACTCTGTCTTAAAAGTGCTTCTCCAGTGGGAGAACAAGCTGGAGCTGCGGCCCTGAAGAAATCCATTCTTCCCAAATCCATTTCTTCTTAGCTACAAGGAAGATAGATAAATAGATAAAAAAGGCTAAATTGTGAAGAGAAGAGTCAGTGACAATACAGATGTTTGTCAGTATATATATATTTATTTCTAGTGGGGACAATGTGTTGGTAAATTTTCCCCACTAGACAATCACTTTAAATCAATACAGGTTCTATTTAGTTCTTTGTAACTTAGAATAACAGTCTAAGATGTGTGTGAAATAGGTGAGGAAGAAGCGCCATCATTATGGCAAGAGCTGTAATATACCTGCTCTGATTTAACTTGGAACTCTTTGAGCTCATCCTCAGTGAGGGGAAGGTAGTTCTCATCATTTTCAGGATACTCCTGCCATCCCATTTCTTTCAGTAACCTGATTCATGAAAAAAGGGGGCGAGGGGTTAAAAAGAAACAAAAAAGCAAATGGAAAAAAGTCAAATTTTACCAGGTGCACGATAAAGTGAGAGATTTTTCTACTGAACTGCTATGATCCCTCCAGGAAGGGTTTTCTAGTTTTAGAAAACACTATATAAAAATATATATATAAAAAATACTTTGCATTTAGACAGATAAGGAAGGTGAGAAAGAAGGCTAGTGATTTACCCAGGTACACAGAGAAAGTACGCATGGCAGCCGAGAAAACACTAGAACTCAGGATTTCCTTATTCTTAGTGCCCTAATTAAACAGCTAGATCACACTCCTCTTGCTCACACAGCCAGAATGCATATTTAGATATGCATGCAAGTATTTCTTCCCACTTCTCATAGCTTTATAGGATCTGGGGCAATTTCTTATCAAATCAGCATACTGACAAAGCACAGAAGCATTCCAAGAAGAGTTGGGAGGAGAGATGTGGTGATGTGTTATCAACTTCTGCACCACCACATTTGGAAATCCCTTTTGCAGATCAAGCAGAACAGCACTTGAGATTCTGCCTGGCCACCTGGTGTGGGAAACACATAAGCCAGGCAGCATAAATGACTTATGGATGCAAAGCTAGAAGAGTGCTAGAAGGTTAATTACAGAACTTGGGTGAAATCTTGGCCACATTAACTTCAACGAGGCCAGAATTTCACTCCGGCATTTTACTTTCTGCCACACTTTCTGCCAGCCCCGGTGCTGTGAGGAAGTCACACACCTGCAGCTTAGCATATGCAAGATTATTATTTTCTGGAGAAGAGAATCTTCTAAGCACCTGTCTTTTCCTCACACAACGTGACAAAATGATTTCTGAGACACCTTCAGCCCATGTTCTGCTGTCACCTCACCTGTGTTCTGCTTCCAGTGAATGCGACAGGTTCTCCCCTTCCTCCATCAAAGGGAGAGAAAGGCCATTCTGATGGCAATTCTCTTCCCAGTTTTCCTTTGGTTCTGGTGTGCTGCTGCCCTCCATCTAAAGGAAAAATGGAAGTCAAATCACATCACTGAGACACTGATCCTTCATGCGTACATCACAGTTCAAGTCTTGAAGCTAGTGTTCTTGAGTGGATGACTCCAGAGAGAATAAAACCCTTCACCATAAGTCAATGCTTCAGAGCATGAGTTGGTAATAACAAAAAGCAGTTGCCATCAGACATTGGTGAGGTGAGAGGTGCAAAATGAGCTCGGTGGGCTGCAGTTTAATTTTTAAGGGACAAATGCCCACACCACAATACCACCATTATGGATTCAGAGATGCCAAAGGCTATACGAGCCATGGAGACTGCACTCTGACCCGTGGAGGTGTCCTCCTACATCAGGCCAAACACTGGTAGAGCAAGACACCATCCTACTGGTTGTGCAGAGACAGTTCGATATGCCAGGTCTGTCAAGCCTGCACTTTCACCAGGGCCAAATTCATTTAAACTACTCTGGGTCCAGTGTAGATTTTCTCAACTTTCGTTGAGCAGAATGTAAACGGAAGTTGCAGTGTTTTTAACTATGCTACCAGAAGTAAGCTACATAAATGGAAATTTCAGTCCTGCAATGATATTTAAAGAGTAAACATTCTTCTAAAATATTGTTCCTTCCCATTCTTTAGAAAGCCCTCTGAGAATCCTTCCAATTCTTACCAAACATTGCCCTTTTCCCTTTACCATATATTTTAATTGTCCTCCTGCATTTCTTTAGGTCAGTCTTCTTCACTGCAAGGCCCACAAGCCAGTGGTGGCTCCCATCTACCCTAAGTGTGACTGGCTAAGTTCCCTCTAAGCTGCGTGGTCCCGCAGCAGGCTATAAATAGCCATGCAGCAGCTCTAAAGGACCGCACAGCAGGGACCTGGAAAGGAGAGAGGTAGGGGGTGGACAGGGAGCAAGTTGGGGCTTGCAGGGCTGCTGTGGGCCTCTCTCCCAGCCCCAGAGCTCCGTGCTGCCTGCTGGCAGGGGGGGAAAGAGGGGCCCCTTCCCCAGAGCTCAGTGCTGCCTGCTGGCAGGGGGAGAGATCTTCCCCAGAGCTAGCTGCTGCCAGCAGGGAAAGGGTGGGGGGAAGAGGGAAAGGAGGAGGGGGAGGATTCCTCTCACCCCAGTCCCAGAGCACCCTGCCTGCACCCCAAACTCCTCATCCCCAGCCCCACCCCAGAGCCCACACCGCCAGCCAGAGCCCTGACCCCCCCCCCCACATCCCAACCCTCTGCCCCAGCCTTGAGCCCCCTCCTGCACCCTGAACTCTGTGGCCCCCATCCCAACCCTCTGCCCCACCCCTGAGCCCCTCCCACACCTCAAACCCCTCATCCCCAGCTCCACCCTAGAACCCTCACCCCCAGCCAGAGGGATGAAAAGAAAACAAAGGAACAAACTGACCAACCAACATTTGGACTGCCTTACTAGGACTGCGATGACAGATTACAAATAGGGCATGAACAAAGTCAAGGAGGAACAGGAACACTTTCACTCATCCAGTTTTTAAAGTAAGTTTTCCATTATTCTGCTCTTTAAGTTTACTTCGATAGATGCCTTTTTAATTCCATATATTTTCCTCATTATTATTTTATAAAAAGAGTATCGTTTTACTGTACAAGTAGACTTCATTTTAGTTGCATGAGTGGCTCCGTAATATTACATCACTAAGGAGTAATAAGCACTGTGTTAATTTACTAGCTGATGTAGCTCTCACATTAAAGGTTTTTTGCCAAAGTGGCAAAGCGAAGAGCACTGCTTTAGGTTATGGCTTTTCTTTGTTTCCCATCGCACACCATCTGTACTGATATAGCAGCACAGATCTGAGAACAAGTGCTCATTAATTAACAGCTACAGATGATCTAGCAGAGGCAACATGAGCGCTCAGAATATTTTGTTTAGGATCTACAACAGTTCCTTCTCTGACCCCATTCTGGAGAGGAGTTTTCCTAGGGAAAAATGTTAAAACATTTTAAAAACACAGATCAAAAATAAAAGGGCATTTTAAAACAGTTGACAGGAATGTACTCTGGCACATAGCAGCAGCCTAGAATGGAAGCTATTTGCAATTCTCACTCTTGTGGCTACTGCTCAGGAAGCAGGATTTAAGCTACTTCTGACAGTCAGGAATCTCCTTAGTTCCAGTACCAGAAGCCTACATTTTTCAGTCAAGAGAAGGATAAGTTCTACTCCCAACTGCCATGTGGCTACTTGGCAGCCATGCTATCGCTGTGTAAATATGAGGCCCCAATTTTTTTTTTTTTTTTACACACTGGTATAGTTTCTATTTGAAGTCCCTTAAAATACACAATTCCCAGGAAAGAGAAGTGGGCAGTCCTCTTACATCCTCCAACTTGTCACATTCTCTGTTCTCTGTGATCTCTCCATTCCTGTCATCTTTCAATGCCTTCAGGAATTCACTTTTCTTATCGGCGGTGCGACGCATCAGCTTAGTCAAACGTGAAGAACTGATCTCAATGGGAGGGGTGGTGCTGGAAGGACTCTGGAGAAGTAAGGTGGAACACATTAGAGAACTTACCAAATACCAATTGAAGAAAAGCTGGGTCTGAGCCCTGTTCAGGGTTTTTGCCCACACCTTTTAGTACTTTATCTCCTGAGCTGACTGGCAATTTCCTACGAGTACTCCGTTCCGATTTCTACCAGAGAACTTGGCTGCACTGTTCCAAATCCATGCCCTTCCTCCTCACCAACCTGGAACGAATGTCTCCAACCAATTCTTACTTTCTTCTGCAGCTGCAACTGTTTCTTCATCTCCATTAACTTAGACAGTCATGAATTTAACATGCTTGTTCTGCTCCTCACATAATATGCTTCCTGGTAATATGAGCTACCTCACAGGCTCCCCGTTCAATTAATTCCATCTCTGCTCTTGGAATGATGCAGGAATATACTGCTGATTCCTGCCTATTAGCAAAATCATTCCGCCAACTCCTGTTTTCCATGCCAAATAAAAAGGTCTATCCAATTAAATTAAACAAAACTGATCTCCCGTGGTCTTCAGTAGTATTTATGACGTGGTGGTATCCAATAATATGGCAGCTAGCTTTCAATGTAGTTAACCTGTTTCCTTTTTATAGGTGGGATTTACAATTAAAATAAATTGGGGTTTTAGCCTCCTGACTTCCCCTCTGCCTGGAGTATTTGTCTGTGGTATTCATGTCTGGTGGTCCTTGAAGACGACAGGAATCCTATTCTCATTAGTCTTGACTCTCCACTGAAAGGAGAGGTCACAATAACACATCTTGTACACAAAACAATCCCTTTCCTTCACATAAATTGTGAAAGAGGGAAAGAGAAATCAAACCATGTAAGAGAACCAACAGGAGCATATTTAAATAGTTCCTGAGAGCAGGAACTGGAAGAGCCTTGCAGCACCATTTTAGATGTTTTTCTTGGAGCTGAAGTGTTGCCTACAGACAATCCTTAGGACGCCAAAGAAGACTACTTTGCAAAGTATGCTTATGGTACAGCATACAATCCCTCTGAGCAGAAAAAAGGCAAAGAAAATGGATCTCAAAATATTCAGCTGCTTGGATTCCTTATTCCTAAATTACATGTAATGCGAAGATGAAAGGAACCTCTCCTGGAGAAGTGTATGCTATAAACCCTGGCATCATACAGTAACATTCACCAGGCAGTTATTCCAGACACCATCTAGTACACCACTGAGAGGAGCAAACAGGTGATTGTGAAACTTCCACAGTTCGTCTGAGTGATTGTCAGGATAAAATGAAATCCAGAGTAGTATTTAAAATTCTCAGCGTGGTAATTAGTGTGACTGTTCACGTGACAGACTATAACTGATTGAACAGAAGAGCCAGGCTAAGAACATTTGACATTTCTAGTTGACTGGAATACCCATTTAACATGACAGCCAATAAAACTTTTAAGCTCCGTGCTAGAGCAGCCCTTTTCAAAGACACCTGTACAGAAATGCCAACATACCAAGAGCTCAATTTTACAAATTTTAAGGGATGAGCAAAGCAGCTATAACCAGTTTCTCAAATTCTCCACCTTAACTTTGACTACCTAAACCTTTCAACAGATTTATAATAAAACCAAAATAAGTGCACATTGCTTATTGATTTATTTATTTTACAATCATTCTTCCTACACTGCCTCTTCTAAGTCAGAAAGGAAAGACAGGTGTGTGGGTCCCAGTTGTTGTTGTTGTCCCAGATACCTGGAGGTATCTGAACCCAGAGATCTCATATGAAAGAGCGAGGCCTGATATGCTGAAGTAATGAGTTTTAACAATGACCAGTTCATTTTCAGTACTCTGCCTATAAGATTGTAGCATATTCTCCTAGGGGAAAACAGTGGAAGAGCCATCCCTTAGGTTTTTAAAAGCAGACTGCATAAAGCACTAAAAGTGCACTTATAGGGAAGAATCTTACACTAATCCTCAGGGAGATCTCGGAGGACTTCTCTCTCTAATTCCCAGGACTCTACGGTAATGTCAGTGTTCTACTTTCACACAGCTTCTCATTTTCAGAACATTTTACAAATACTAACTGATCACTCTTCAACACCTCTGTAAGATAGTTATTATTGCCATTATACAGATAGAGAAAGAGGCAGAGGTTAAATTACTTTTCCCAGGTCAGTGGCAAAGGTTAGATTAAAATCATGGGTCCCAGTCCTGTGTTTAGTCTAAGAGTTAAAAACATTGTTTGACAAAGAAGCAGGTGAAATGAAAATCTAGGCATTACAGCTGCACATGCTCAGTTGTAGCTTGGACAAACTTAAATCATTTCCAGTTTAACTGGATATAGCTACTGATGTTATGGAAACACAGGATGGAGCGACTTTCAAACGAGTTTCTTCTATTAAAATCTACTAACCACTCAGACAAGGCTGGTGGAAGTTCAACAAAGAGTGGCACTTTTATAGCTTTTAAGTATTACTGGTCTCTGTAGAAAGACGGAATTACAGGCTCTCTTGAGTGTCAGGTTAATACCCTACATCAGGGGTGGGCAAACTATGGCCCGCAGGCCACATCTGGCCCACGGGACCATCCTGCCCAGCCCCTGAGCTCCCAGCCGGGGAGTCTCGCCTCCGGCCCCTCCTCCCGCTATTCTACTCCCCCACAGACACGCCACCGTGCAGGCAGCACAGCTTACACCCACCCACCTCCCAGGCTTTCAACAAAGTCTGACTCCTGCTCTGAGTGGCCTGGTACGGGTAAGGGGGGAGGGCAGTCAGGGATGCGGGTCCTGAAAGGGGGTGGTCAGGGACAAGGAGTGGGGGAGGGAGGGATGGATGGGTCAGGGGTCCCAGTGGGCCTGTCAGGGGGTGGGGGTGTGGATAGGGGTTGGGGCAGTCAGGGGACAGGGGGTTGGATAGGGTGTTGGGTCCCAGGGGGGGCGGTCAGAGGACAAGGAGCAGGGGGGGTTGGGTGGGTCAGGGTTCTGAGGGGGGCAGTCAGGTGGCGGATAAGGGGTGGGGGCCAGGCTGTTTGGGGAGACACAGCCTTCCCTACCCAGCCCTCCATACCGTTTTGTAACCCTGATGTGGCCCTCGGGCCAAAAAGTTTGCCCACCCCTGCCCTACATCCTTGCTGGCCAGAGACTGACAACAAGAGCAGCCTAGGACAACAAATTACAGAGGCTATATGCAGTACTTATTGTACTGGATAACAAGTGCATTTAACTTTGTTTTGGTATTACTTACCTGAAGGTGGAAGCTTATCTGAATTATGTATTTATGTTCCAGTAGTGCCCAAAGTGTGTTAGGTGTTGTACAGACATAAGGGAAAACAAAGTCCCTACCCCAATGGGCTTACAATCTAAAACAACAAAGAGGTAGGGTGAGGGGAAAGAATACAATATAAAAGCAAAGTTGTCAAGGAGATGACTGGCAATTTTGTTATTTCCATGGGGTTTTTTTATTACATAAAAACCAGAACTACTCATCTATATACCCATTATTAGTCGGCTATTTCCTCATTTGGAAACCTCAATTTTGTTTCTCTGGAGTCTGGACTTTGACCAAGAAATAACTGACTACCCCTGGTGTAGGGGTTCAAAAATGGTGAAAGTTCAGAATGAATAAAAATCTATACAACTTCAACATCCACGAAGATGACAAAACCTTCCCAGGAATACTTCTGACCTCAAAACAAAAAGATTAAGAGAGACAGCAGCCTCACACGTGAAAGATTCTCAGTTTCATAAGAGCAACACTTCTGCCTAATATGCAGGGGGGCATTCACCTCTGGTGGAGTAAATACATCACCATTGTTTATTAAAATTAAAGAACAGTATCAAGATATGACTTGTTTAACTTCTTCCCCCATTCCAAATTATTTAAACTGAAAATTTAAAGATATAGAAAATCATGGCCAAGTAGCGACTAGCAATTTTGAGTGTGTAAATTTTTGGTACCCAGCTTGACACCTTAAAGAGAGCATATTTTCAGAGGATGGAAAGGTGGCATTCTAAAGATCAGATCCCTTTTAGGTCATTTCTTAAAATCTTGTCTAACTTTTCCATAATTTCTGTTGTTTACCCTTTGGTAATTTACTCAGTTTGGACATAAAAGTGACTAGCTTAATTTTCCGATTTTTACACACTAACACAAAGCCATAGTGTTTTGCTTCCCAACAGTGCAGGGGAAGTTTTAATGTAAAATTGTTTAAAATTAATGGAAATGCTTCTTTATTAGGATCTGTAAGTAATTTTTAGCCCAAACCCAGCATTTTGGATGTAAACTACTTGGAAAGCAAGTCCCTTTTAGAGTCCTATCACCGACACAAGTAAAGGGCAGAAGAGGCTACCATGAATAGACTGCTGAAATTCCGATGAAGTGAGCTGTAGCTCACGAAAGCTCATGCTCAAATAAATTGGTTAGTCTCTAAGGTGTCACAAGTCCTCCTTTTCTTTTTGCGAACACAGACTAACACGGCTGTTCCTCTGAAACCTGAAATTCTAGTAAATGTTAAGTCCAAATAATTTTCCAGACACTTAATCTATAAATTAAGACAACCTTACAGATGAATACTGGGGTACATTCTCCACCATCAACACTGACAAACACCAGAGTAGCTGAAGAGGAGGACTACACACATCTGTACATCCCAAACCTTTTGAACTGTTCCCAGAGCTCACCACATGCATTGCTAGGAAAGAGCTGTGAACTGGAAGAGCAAGAACACCTAGCACCCTATTTTAAACAGTGGTATGGAATTCAGGTCTTGTATGGTGTAAATTCTGGTGTGCACTAGTGTGCCATGCACTAACCGGCCTGTGGAGACCCTGCTAGCACTGAATCATAGAATCATATGACTGGAAGGGACCTCAAGAGGTCTTCTAGTCCAGTCCCCTGCACTCAAGGCAGGACGATGTATTATCTAGACCAGAGGTGGGCAAACTATGGCCCACGGGCCACATCTGGCCTGTGGGACCGTCCTGCCTGCACTTGAGCTCCGGCCAGGCAGCACGGCTGGCTCCGGCCAGGCAGCACGGCTGGCAGTCCTGCTGCTCTGAGTGGCATGGTAAAGGGGCAGAAGAGGTTGGTTAAGGGGCAGGGGGTCCCGGGGGCAATCAGAGGACGGTTGTATTGGATGGGTTGGGGGTTCGGGGGGCGGGCATGCAGTCAGGGGATGGGGAATGGGGCTGTTGGACAGGTGTGGGAATCCTGAGGGGCCTGTCGGGGGACAGGGGGTGGATAGGGGTCAGGGCAGTCAGTGGACAAGAAGCTGGGGGGGAGAGGGGGAAGGAGGAGTTTGGATGGCTCAGAGGTTCTGAGGGGGGGCACTCAGGGGGCGGGAAGTGGGAGGGGGCCAGGCTGTTTGGGGAGGTACAGCCTTCCCTACCTGGCCCTGCATACCGTTTTGAAACCCCGATGTGGCCCTCAGGCCAAAAAGTTTGCCCACCCCTGATCTAGACCATCCCTGACAGGTGATTGTCTAACATGCTCTTAAAAACCTCCCATGACATTGCTCTAAGAGTTCCCTAGTGTGTGTTAATGTAGTCCCCCATTTTAAACTCTTCTGAAATGTATTCATGTTGGGAAACTTTTAGTGTGCACCAGCAGGGTCCACATGATCTAGTTAGTGTGTGACACGAACACTCTAGAATTTACACCCCCCCCCTCATGTGGGCTAAGAATACGTCTTCACTAGCAATGTTACACTTTAATGTGGCCGTCTAGTTGTGTCACCAGAGCTGGGAGTTTGTTCTCCTAGCACTGTAAAAAAACCCACCTCCACGAGGGGAACAGTTCCCAGTGTTCGTGCACTGTCTACAGTGCCACTTCCCAGCGCTGAAACTTGCAGCGCTCGGTGGGGTTTTCATACCCTTGAGCGAGAAAGTTGCAGCGCTGTAAAGTGGCAGTGTGGACAAGGCCTAAAGCGTTCTGTAGAGAAGCCCTCAGCATTAACTTTCAGTTCACAGCTCTCACATAGCAGGGCTAGTGTTTGCACTTTGGTAATGCAGCTGATGGTCTGGACATTGTTTCTGGGCATGCCCAGTTAGCTCCCACGGCGCTCTTAAAATGTAAGAGCAACCATACCTTGTATGATGGTGATGAAATTACAGCAGACCTAGCCAAAAACTGCCGGCAGCACACTCTACATCAAGACAGACAGACTTCCAAGAGCATTCCCATTAATGTACAAGGGGACTTAGCTCAACATGCAAAGACCATACAAGTGATTGAGTACTCTTCAAGTGTTCAGAGCTGTATAATATGAATAGAAGAGCTCTCATGGTACTTAAATTATAGAAAGAAACATTAGTTGGAAAAGGTCCAATTCTCTCCCCAACCCAACCCCTTACCTCTTTGGGAGAGGTGAGAACTGAGCCACTCGCCAGTACCGCTGGTTTGGTTACAGACACCGGACTGGTAAAGGCAGAGTCACGGCTGGAGGAAAGCGAGCCTGGTTTATGTTCACTTCTGTTAGCTTTCCATGGACTTGGCTATATTGAAGAGAACACAGTACACTAGACAGTAATGGTATGGTACAAGAATGGGTTGCTTGCAAGTGGTAAAAAAAATCATAAAGCAACAAACTGACTTAACAAGGTGTCTGATTAATTGAACAAATTATCGTCTCCTGCTCCAAAAATGGTCTCAAATCCCCCTCTCATCTTAATCCTGAAAATCCCCCATTCCTGCCCTGCTGAACCACCCAGCCCACATCAATACCCTGTAACTGCTTCACAGCTATCACTGTTCTAGCAAAGGATTGGTTGGGACTATTATGAACATCACTAGTTGGAGGAGTCACCATGGAGAGATGCCATGTATCCCACAACCGTTCCCAGCACAGGAAGTGAGAGACCATAATAAAACTCAAATTTCTTACACAGTGCTAAATACCACCACCAAATATCTTGCATCACTCAACAGGAGCTTCCTCTGGCCCAGGGGAAGAAGCTCTAAGACATGAATGCAAGACAGCAATTCCCCACGTTGCAAGGAAGATACTCTTAATCCCCATGGAAGGGTAAAGGAACAAAATAATTTGACTGCACCCTGTTTAACAAGACACAGAAATCAATGGATATACTAAAAATCCAAACACGAAGCCCCAAAACTTACCGAGTGAGAAGCCAGGTGACTGGAGTACAAAAGCACATAAACCAGCCCATTTTCTAAGCCAATCCACATGTAACTACTCAGAGTGGGGGGAGGGATAGCTCAGTGGTTTGCGCATTGGCCTGCTAAACCCAAAGTTGTGAGTTCAAGCCTTGAGGGGGCCATTTAGGGATCTGGGGCAAAAATTGGGGATTGGTCCTGTTTTTGGCTGGGATGATTTAACTGGGAATTGGTCCTGCTTTGAGCAGGGGGTTGGACTAGATGACCTTCTGGGGTCCCTTCCAACCCTGATATTCTATGATTCTATGAGTGGGGCAACTTCACCCAACTAGTATCCACCATTAGGATATATCTGCATTTATTATTTGGTGGCCAAGCAATAATGGCAGTTGCAGAAAGCTGCCTCATGATAAAGGTCTTCTACTTGGAAAAGTTTTATCTTGGACCTCTCAGGCACCAAGGACAAACTGTGCAACAACAATCCCAAAATGAGAGGTATGGCACCAGGCAGCACAGGAACAAGAGAGATGAGGAATAATATATATTTTTTTAATTTTACAGTTTCATTTTAACTATTCTGTATTTCTGATATCAATGCTCATCCAGGATGTATCTGGGATTTAAATTAAATGACTCTAAAATGGATAACGTACTTTGCAGAAAAGGACAGCAGAGGCCACTGTTTCTCCATATTTCCTCATTTGTTACTTTGGTGTATTTTTCTTCCTTCTTATATTGTGCTGACTCCTCTCCCTTGCTCCCCCACAGGTAAAAATCAAATCCCTCTTCCCATTCCCTAATCAGAAGGGACATGATGCTGGAGGTGGACAGCCATCGACATGCCACTCAAAACTGAGGAGAGAAGAATGGGCTGGCACACTGAGGCCCGCAGCCCTACTATACTTTTGACTTTTACAATGTCCAGCTACATTAGCAGCCCCACAAAGAAGGGCAGGAAAGAGATTTTTCAAGGAGCCACCAGTAGTTTTATTTGCTATGCAGTGGTATGCTTGCCGTGAGTCAGGGGAAGCTGCATCAACATGAGGTCCTGCACCTTCCATCTCCTACTTGATCACATCCTCTGCTTTTGGCTCCGCCCGTCATTGACTAGTCTGATGTCTCCCCCACAGGTTAGAAAACTGATTTAGATTGTAAACTTCCTGGGGTACAGATTGTGCCTTCATTCCTGAATAACCAGTGTCCTTCTTGCACTACCACTTAATTTACAGTAATCTCTTAAATAGGAATCTCAGAAAACGGCAGTCACCTCAAAATGTCAATTTTTGCTCAAGAACCAGAAGGCACAATTCTCCAGTTTGTATTGACGATGAGGAGTTTCTGTGTGGAAGACCATAAGCAGATTCACATTATATAGAACACTCATCCCCCACCCCAAAAAAACTCAACACTGGTGAAATGGATTTCCACCTTTTTCACAGCTTATATTTCAAATCGAGTTCCTGTCAAACTCTCAAAAGCCAAATGTAAATGGTCACAGCACCCCACTGGTGAGGCACAACACTAAATTTGGGGTGTGGGTGTTCGATTGTAAGCTCCTGGGGACAGATATCATATTTGTGTTTTGAGTTTGTACAGCGCTGAGCAAAACGAAAAGCCATAGTCGTAGACCAAGACCCAGGCACTACAATAATAGAAATACTTGGAATGCTCACAATGACACTGAGACCCATTGATGCCAACAGTTTCATTGTTCTTTACAAGCAACTGTCTCAGACCTGACAAACTCACTACATCTAATATACCACTTTCACAGTATTTATTAATGAAGGGTAGCATGTGAGGTCTGCACTAAAAGCTCTTAATTTATCAATACTCACTGCAAGATGTGTACACAGGTAATATTTAAGGAATAACCTAACTGTATTGAAAACTATGCCTTATGGTCCCGGAGTAAAAAAGTCTGTCACCAGAGAATCATGTGTTTTGGTGATGGCCCATTCAAGCAGAAGTTGTCTTTACCTGTCTCTGGTCAGCTGGTGATGTAATGCAAGGTTCAACTGTCTACCTTTGTCCCATCCCAGAACAGTTGGAAAACTATCAAAGCCAACTGCAATCAATCAAAATCAGTTGGCGGTAAAAAGGAACAGTGTAACAGACAGGGGATCACCGGACTGTGAATAAAGACAAAAAGACAGATTCACTATATCAAAGGGTGGAGAAAGATGCACTGAGTCCATTCGCTGAGGAGACATATTGTTGAGCAGGGAGCGTTCAGTGAAAGATTGGATTCTGGTTCCTGGGAAACCAGTCAGCTCTGCAACAGACTGAACAATGTGGGGGAAAAGTACTTTATTAGATAGAAAAGGTAACTATTAAATGTAGACTCTAGTTTGAATTTTATGATTTTGTTTTGTATTGGAAACATTAGATTCCATCACACACTCTTTTCTAGTGGAATTTATACTCTCTCATACTAAACCAAAAGAAGGTTTATAGAAGTGTTCAATGCTGTGTGTTACACAGGAGCTGAGATTTAAGGTAAAGCAGGTAAACTGGGGTACATTGTTCCTTTGGGAGCAGAGAATCTGGGATTTCCATGAGTAGCCAGCGTCAAGGGCAGGATACCACAGAAGAACATTTCAAGGGGGCTGCACATTTTGTTAACCTGCAAGCCAAAGGCGGGACTGCCCTAGCTCAGAGTGTGCTTGAGTGGCTGACAGGCCAGCAGTGTTAGGGAACTGACACCCAGCTACCAGAGGCGAGACTCCCTCTCACTGGAGGCAGGAGGTAACAAGGTGACTCTCAATCCTGGGTACCCTGAACACTCATTTTTGCATCATTCTGCACAGACTATTATGGCTGTCCCCTGCTGAGACAGGATGCTCAGAGGCTGCTAATGATTATTCATATGGCTTCCACCAAGAGGCAGTTCAGACAGAAACCCAAAGAAAAATCCTTCTGGCTAGTTTTGGGGGGTAGGTGGGGTGGGAGAAGGTGTAAGTGTAGAGCAAGCAGTCTAATGATTAGAAGGTCAACAGAGGCAGGACTTCTGGGTTATGTTTATAGGCATGACACCAAAGCCTTGTCTACACTATGTGGGCTACACCACATCTATGCTGCTGTATGCCATAGTGTAGATGCATATCACACTGACAGATAGGGTTTTTGCCCTTATTCTAGGAACTACACCTCCCTGAGCAGTGGTCAGTTGACCTCACTATATCCACCCCATGGTTTAAGGCCAGCATAGCTGCGATGCTCAGGGATGTGAATTTTTCACTCCCCTAAGCAATGTAGTTATGTTGCTCTACATTTTTAGGGTAGACCAGGTCTAACACAGTTCGACCATGGGCAATTAATCTATCTGTGTCAGTTTATCCACCTGAGAAATAGGAACCTGTGGTACTCATTACAAGATGATGTTGTGAAGGCCAAACTATAACGGGGTTCAAAAAAGAATTCGGTAAGTTCATGGGAGGATAGATCCATCAATGGCTATTAGCCAAGATGGTCAAGGATGCAACCTCATGTTCTGGGTGTCCCTAGCCTCTGACTACCAGAAGGTGAGAGTAGAGGACAGGGGATGGATCACTTCATGATTACCTGTTCTGTTCATTCCCTCTAAAACACCTGCCATTGGCCAATGTTGGAAGGATACTGGGTTAGATGGGTCATTGGCCTGACCCAGTTTGGCCATTCTTAAGTCGGAATAAACTCCTTTCAGTGCCACTGAGCGTATTTTAACACCGTTTAGCGCTGCTATAGCATTTTTCATTCCGTTGTGCCAGGGGTAGCTTTTTTAGTCATACTGCTCTACAGAGCCTTAGGGCTATAACCCACCCGCCCGCCCGCATCTTTGAAAAAACAGTTACTGAACAGGATCGTAACCGCTGTTCTTTGAGATGTGTTGCACACGTTCATTCCATTCTTGGAGTCAGTGTGCCCAGCATACGGCTGTCAGAAACATTTCCCCTCAGCAGTACCCATGGGGCAGCTCAAGCTCCCGCTGCTGCCCTGTACCACTGTGTGCAGATATAAAGGGCAGAGCTGTCCCCAGGGCCCCTCACTTCCTTCTCGCTGGAACTCCAATGCAGAGGAGCAGAAGAGGGTGGGCTATGGAATGGACATGCACAACAGGCTAGTAACTCTTTTCTTCTTTGCGTGACTGCACATGTGCATTCTACTCTTGGTGACTCAAGCCATAAGAACAGGAGGTGGGACAGGAGTCTATTTCAACGAAGACTGAAGAACAACTTGTTCAACTCTAGCATTGTCTCTGGAGTCTTAAGCCATAACATAGCGGGAGGCAAACATGTGGACAGAGGACCAGGTTGCCACTCTACTAGTGTCCGCAATTGGAACTTGCGCCAAAAAGGCTGCTGAGGCCAACTGCAACTGTCTTGAATGAGCTGAGACTCTGTCAAGTGGAGTGACATTAGCCAAGTCATAACACATGCGTATACAGGATGCAACTCAAAGAAATTCTCTGGATAGAGACTGAATGGCTTCTTACTCTGTCTGCCATTGCTATGAACAGATGGGAGGATTTATAGAAGAGCCTGGTTCTGTCCAGGTAAAGTGCTAAGGCTCTCCTGATCTCTAAGGTATGCAAACGCTGTTCATCCCTGTTCGTATGTAGCTTTGGGTAAAATACGGTCAAATTGTCGGATATGGAAAGAAGAAACCACCTGCATTTGGATGAGGATGCAGGTGAACTTTGTCCTTAACAAAGATCTTGCATGGATGCCCCAAAATTAATGCCTGTGGCTCCCCTACTCCTCTGGGAGAGGTAATCACCACCAAAAATGCCACCTTCATTGATAGATGCAGCAGAGAGGAGATAGCCAATAACTCAAATGGGGAACTCGTAAGTCTTTGCAATACTAAGTTTAGATCCCAGGGGGAACTGAGTCTTGCACCTGAGGGTATAATTTGAATAAGCTTTTTTTTTTAAATGGACATCATTGGTAGAGCCCTGCACGGATACATTTGTATCTGCATCCGATCCGCAAAAATGATCCACGGCTATAAAGCAGATATCCACAGATTTGCAGGGGTTTAGACATAAAATTTGGATCTGCATCCATCCACAAACGGAAAAATGGCGAGCGGATGCGGATATCTGCAGATATAAAGCTGATATCCACAGATTTGCAGGGCTCTCGTCATTGGAGAAAATAGAGCAACTGTCCACTTTAGAGTGAAATGGTGAAACAGCTTCCAGATGTACCCTGATGGAACTAACCACCAACCCTTGGTGTTTTAGGTATAATAAGTAATCCAGAACATGTTGATCTTCCATACTGCTGAGACCAGATGGAAAATTTTTTTTCCATTTATAGAGGTGCATAGCTCTTGTAGAAGGCCTTCTATTATTTAGTAGGATCTCTTGAAAGTCTTTTGAGCAGGCCTGCTCTCTCGTACCTAGCCATGAAGCATCCATGCGGTTAAATGAAGGACTGTAGGCTCAGGTGGAGTAGGTGACTGACCCTAGGACAGTGGTTTTCAAACTTTAGGCTGCACACCCCTTTCCAAATAATGTAGTCTACCATATACCCATCTGAGATGGGCAGGTGACATGTGGGGGAGGGGATGCCACGCAGGGTCATTGTGAACTCATTGGGTCAGAGACCATCTTTTATACATGTTTATACAATGCCTAACATGATGGGGCTCTGATCCCCAACCTGGGACCTATATGCATTACCACTATAGAAACAGCAAATGATTTCTAAACTGGCTAAATAACTTTAGACATTCCTCTGAATACTACAGGAATAAGGCAAGGAGTGCACTATTAGCCAATTAACCCATATCTTTGGCCAAAGAAGTCAATTTAGGTACAAAATCACCCACGCTGACATACCCTACTGCAATTTTAAGGAAGATCCAGGATTCACGGAATGGAAAGGAAAACTGGGATGTCAAAAATGAGCATTTTGACAAATAGGTTTAGTTGTCCAGTTTATGTACCAGAATCACACTGCTACTTTACTTCAGTCAAAACAATTGCTTCATTTCCCCAAGTGCTCTTCTAAAATTCCATTTATCAAGGGTATAATACAACTAGTTTATGAACCTATTAGGCCATATCACATCAGGATCACAACACTAACAAAACCCAGAAAGGTTGGGATTTTCAAGTGCCTAAAGGAGCTAGGTGTTCAAACCCACTGAAATTCCATGTGATTTGGACACAATATTCCATTAGGCCCCTATGAAAATCTGAGCATAAGATACCATTTTCTAGGCACAATGAAAAGAAGCTCAGCTTCTGGATAAACATCCAGTCAGTAAAGCCCGATTAAACTGTGTTATAGTCTCACAAGGAGAAAGACCCATCACTTAGGACATTTAGAACTAGGCAAAACAAATGCACTGGAGACTATACTGCAGGGAACCACCACATTCTGGAAGGGGGAACTAGATAATTGATTAGCTTTTAATCTTCAATATCTGTGATTCTATGCAATAATGCACTACTGCAGGATGCAGTCATAATATTTACATGCACTTAGGTACTGAAAACACAGATTTCAATCTCATGATTTACAAATCTTAAGAGTAAATTTGTATAGCACCATAACTTGCAAACCCCACAATATATCATTGCTTGCATACAGCGCTAGCAGTTATACATTTCTGCATTAAATAAAAGATCACTGTGCAATGAACAAGCAGCAACACAATCTAGTTGTTAAAAAGGCTCTGAAGTAGAAGGCTGAATAGCTAAAACCTGTTCAATACACCAAGTCATTGCAGCTACAGGCAACCCAACCATATCCCTAAGTCACCCAAACCGGAAGCTCTCTGAACACCAGAAACTCCATCTTGTTTGAACTGTCATGGGTGATTCCACATGTGGGCTGACTGCCTAATAATTTCTGATTCTACAGGTAAGGAATTCTTTACAAATGGAATTTTATAAATAGTTGTGATTCTTACAAAGCCCGCCTGTCAGGCCAGCACTGGTGTGCTACCCCAAAACAAGCCGTAAGACCAGAATTTTTTAGAATTGAAAAGTGATAGTCATTCTAATCATGAAGGTTCTCTCTGGTGTCTGTGGGAGAGGAGGGACCAGCTGAATTTTAAAGAGGACCTAGAAAGGTAAGAATTGTGTTCATGCCCTCTGCTCCTTTACAAATCTCTGAAAGGGGTTTTTAAGAAGAGGTTTTTTTTTTTATTGTATTTCATAAAGTTTAAAAAAAATCTGCTCTTCTGTATCAGTGGAACTCTTATTGGAAGATACACAGCTAGAATGGAACTTCTCAACCAGGACCGATAATCTTTTAAAGATCTTTTCTTCCAAGTGTTTATCAAGCATTTTAATTAATGAGGCGTTACCAGCCAAAAAAATAAGCAAAACAAAGCTCTAAAAATTATGAATAAAAATCATTTCCATGATTATGTTTCACTTCTCTGATACTATTTGGAATGTCATAATCCTACAAGTTTCCCCAGGTATCTCTATACCAGCCTTCAGGAAAAACAGTCAATATAAAACAATCCCAATATAAAACAATCAAGCAGAAACTGAAACCTTGAAAAACCTTTTCACCTTTTTGTGTGTAACATAAAGAAGCTAAAGTGCAAAACCCTATATTTCTTTTGTAGGTTACCTTTAAGGCTCAACTACTATGCTGAAGGATCATGTTAAAACATGACTCAGTCTGGTCTTTGAAGACCGGTCCAAACTGTATTTTAACCATGTTAATTAATCATATTTCAACTTTGTACAGATTTACAAGACTGTCATATGAACAACTCATTCACTCTTCTCTGTTACTAGTACTTTTTCTACATAAGGGAGAGAATGCCCCTTCAATACACTTTAGTAACTCCATTGGAAGCCCTTGTACCTTAGATGGAGGAGCTGCAGGTTTAGGAACCAGATTTTTGTAGACACTTGGGACAATTGTGGTGGTCTTGTTGCCATTTGCAAGGTGAGGAACTGGTGACGTAAATGCAGCTGAGAAGGCGGCAGCAGGATCCTCTTTTGAAACCTTTTTGATGACCAGCATCTTGGTAGGTTGTTTGGCACTAGGGGGGTTTTCTACAAAAACAGAGGGGAACAAGACCTCAAAAAATAATTAGTATCTCAGTAATTCCACAAAAGTTGACTCTACCTCAGCTCCAATTTGACCTCTTAGAGTCTCAGATGCTGAGAGAGTCTCATGTTGCTGCTGCTAACAGCTCCTGAATTCAAGTGAAGAGGATATCAGACAAAGATGATAAAGTCCAACATTTTGTAGGCTCCTCCTGATTTTGAAAAAAACTGCCTATGACAACATCGGCCTGAGATTTTAACAGCCTCTCAGACTTTGCTGAAAGAGGAAACCAGCATGGGTAATCATAGTTAAGTTCTGAATAACTACTGAGTAATTTTAGGTTAATTCACTAACAAAAATATTTCGTGAAACTCATGCTTTAAAGGTTCAATGTTTTGCAACCTGCAACCATTAACACCACATTCTGGTGGAGCGAACAGAAGGTCTCAGTACACTTTCTTGAAAACTGTAATGTAAACCGCTAAGTGTTCAAACAGCTTTTTACTGCTGCAAATCTCGTATTACATTTGGGTGGGCCAGTAAAGATCTGAACCAAACACTCAAGAGATTAAAATTACATCTAGTACAACATATTGCTGAATGTTTTAGGATACAGCTAATAAATAACTGGTTCACAATTCTATCCCACCCCAAATTAAACTCTCTAGTTAGAGTTACAGGTTCCAACTAGTGATTAAAGAAGCATTTTCAGGCACTGGTAAACAGGCACTGCATTTGCGTCAGTCTAGCTTTTTCAGTGGTGGGAACAAAAATGTCATGTATAGTATCCAGGAATTTAGAACTATTTTCTTTTTAATTAATTTGAAAAAAGAAGCCAAACCACAAGAACACAGCCTTGTATATTTGTACAGTATTGCTGCATATCCAGTATAAATATCACCTCAGTAACACTTAAAATCAGGGAGCTGTGCTCCCTCTGGTCCTCTCAACCCTATTCTGCATTTCTGATTCTGCATTTAGCAATGCAGTGCCAAGTATTTTCATGATCATTTCATTCCAACACTCCACACCCATAAGCTTAGAGAAGCTGTGATCTTCCCATGGAATTAGCAACAATTATAGACAAGTGATATTCCTGTACGTAGTGTGTGCCATTAGCAGGAAATGGAAGAGAAGATTCTCATAACAGCAGCAAGTGCAGCTCTAAGTATCAGAAAACAGATTCTCTCTCTCCTCAAACAAGAAAGGAAGGGAGAGAAAGAGGTAGCTGCCTACTTCAGTTTAATCTTCCTTTAAGATCTTCCCTTATGTGAAAAACTAGAGTTTCAATATATTGTTCAATTCTTCTGCTTTACAAGTGGTCATCTGTTTTCTATACAGAGATATAAACTTCTCTACATACCCCACACTCCAGAAGGTGTCCCTAAAGGTTTGCTCTGGTTATTCTGTTTTCCAGCTTCTGGATTCAAAGATGGCTGTAAAAACATAATCCAGTTGGACACATTAGAAGATTGCACATACTACTATTTATCAGAAGTAGTATTACCATAGTATCTAGGAGCCATAGTCATGGACCAGGACCCTTTTGTACGAAGTGCTGTGCAAACAGAACGAAAAGACAGTCCCTAGCCCAAAGAGCTTTACTTTCCCTCCCCTTCAGAATGTGTTGGGAATAGAGCAATCAAAGATAGAACTTCTATTTAAAGAGTTTCTAATGTGTAATTAAGAAAGTGAGAGATTCTATAATTTGATATTAATCAGTGGCTCAAGGCACCATGTCATATCGAGGACCCAATTCCTCAGTTGCAAGAGTCAAAATTTTAGGCTGTTATTTCACCTGAAGGATGCAGCCCTTTGTAACTCTACCTTTGATTGAGGGTCAAATCCTAAATATTACAATAGTTGAGAAATGAGTTGGGGGAGGAAAGGAAGTAAAAACAAGGTACCCGATAAGACACCCCGTCCATTCATCTATCCCTCTCTCTTCCCCTCTTTTCACAATAAACTGGAAATTCAAAATCACCAACTCTCCTGCTCTTTTTGATAGATTTTTTATGCATTGACTACTATGCCAACTAGAAGACAAGCCTCCAGTTGTGAACTTCTGGAAAAGCTAGCACTCCTGGTTTAAAAGCTGGAAGAAATTACCATCCAATCTTAATATGAATACCAACTCAGACCCAAAATATTGCCCAAATATTTTTAATCTCTTATCTATCAGTTTTAATGCTTCATTTTACCGGGTCTTGTCAGTTTTACACTAGGAAGCTGTGTGAGGCTGCCTGATGTGCCCAACGCACACAGGAGTGCCCCAAAATTGGTCTTTATGGTTCAAGTCTTCCAAAAGAAATGTTGCCCCTTTTTCCAAATATATATGCTTACAGGTACTATATTCTCAGTCAAGATATGAACATACTTCTGTGTGACAAGTAGTTCAAACTGATTTTACCACTATCATTTCAGAGAGAGCGTCACCAGCTGTATTGGATTTGGCTGATTGAACAAACTTGTGCATCACAACACTGATATAACAGATTTAAAATAACCTGGCAAAAAGTAATGACAACACGTCCAAAAAAACAACCCAATATATGAGGGCCTCAGGAATACAGGAAAAAATTAACATTCTGCAAGCACTGCTTGCAAGACCATTCCATTAAACCTGGAATGACCCCCGAAAGTATGGGGTGGAATGCAACTCTAGATCCTTTCCACCAACCAATGCTAATACAAAGAAACCTAGAAAGCCATTTCTCACAGCTACCTTCAGCAGTGAGAAACCACACACTTACAAAGTCGTCTTCCTCAAACTGCAGCTTCTCTTTTTCTTCTCTCTTCTCTTCTCTGGCCTCAACAGGCACCTTTTCTTGAAAGGCAGAGTTCTTCCGAGAGTGAAAGTTGCCATTCCAGTGGCGATGGACTCCAGTTCCTCCACCACCACGCTGGTTCATACCATCATGGCCCCGTGAGGGACCATGCCAGCCAGGCTGATTGCCAGAAAGCCCAACATGAGCTCCTTTAGAAACACCGGAATCTACAGAATCATGGCGGAGCAGGGAAGGCTGATGCCAGCAGTCTAAACAAAAGAAGGTAAGTATGCAAATAAAAGTAATACAGCAAGAAGAAACCAGGAATGTCCTGATATTTCTGGTGTTGGTCAATGCTCTCTAAATAACTATTAGGCTAACCTTGCCTCAGTTCAGAGAGACTGTCCGTATGCATAAGTAAAACAGTCAAACTGCAGAAAAATTTAAAAGCCACATACAACTTCCACAGAAACCCCAGGAACACGGAGAGATGGCACATAAGGGAGAAGTGTTAGGATAAGTGGCTTTGTGTGTTATAGGGGATGTGGTTTTGCAAAGTTACTTTATATTCCAAAGGTATACATTCTGGTTAGATCTGCGTTCAATATTTGGATATAGAGTGAGTTCTGATCCTCTACTCACCTCCCGCAGTTCTGAGGGGGCCATTATTGAAAAATCCATCAGAAGAGTTGTGTCGTCTACGGCTCACACCAAAGCGGCCCTCACCCCGCGAAAGATGCTCTCCATGTTTCTCAAAGGTGGCTGCAGGGGACTACAGAACCAGATTAAGTGATTTAGGTCACCCAAAGAGCCTGCTTGACAAGAAATGATGGCTTGTATGAAAATAAAAAGACATTCTCTGCATTAGCTTTCAGTAATTACAGCAACAAGCTGGCTATGTGTTGCTTAGCTGACAAATATGGAAATATTTAAGTGAACTCCACAAAAACAGCACATGTGACTGCACATATCACCCTACATAGCATCAAAAGGATGCTCATTCATCAGCTTTACTAGCAGTCTTTGAAGTCACATGCAACACCCTGAAGAGTTTGTTTAAGGAATCTTACCAATTTCCCTACAGTTACCTTTCCTATTTTGAAAAGATTCTAGAGTCATATCAAGGTTCTGCACATTTTGAAATTATTTGTGTCTCCTCTGGTTTAAACATGAAGCTGAAAGCAGTTTTCTTACCAAACTGTTTTCCCTCCATTAATCTGATTTGCTATTACAAGGTGCTCTAAACTACTAGTGCCATGCATAAGCAATGCAAGTGTTTGCTTGAGGTCCCACGCAGACTTTACACCTTTGAACCAGCCAGATCTACCCCTCAGATCCTGCTGTCAGAGGGTGAGAAATCACAACCCAATTCCCCCCAATTTTGGGATTTCATATACAAGCAACTCTAAATGGGAACTAGAAAATTCTGAGATGGGAACCAATGGCTTGTTATTGGTGCGTTGCTCAGGAGTGCAACATTATTTTGAAGAGAAAAAGAATTATGCTGAACTTGTATATAATTATGAAGAGGCAGGTAGTCCAATTTTCAGTGCTACCAACTTTGGTAGTATCTCTTTAAATAATTCCCCATTATGAGATCTCAATGCAGACTGAAGCTAACATGATTTATTTACTTCCAGGTTTGTGCACACTAAGGAAAACAACCCGTCTCTCTGGAACAGAGGTGGTTAATTTGCAAAGAAAAATCAACAGAGGAAGAGTTTTTGCCTGTGTCTTAAAAAGCTTCACATAGGTATTCAAGAACACAAAGAACATTCCAAACCAGGTTGCAGGCATTCAAGCTGGACAAAATCCAGGGCCAAAACTTGCTTTAGGCATTAAAAGGTAATAGGCTTCTGGTTGGGTAATCTGAATGCAAGAGTTACCTTGGCTGACTGTGGCGTTGAGAAGTTAAGCCAGGCAGGAACAAAGTCATGCTGCGCCATTTAGGTCCAGTGTCTCCCTTCAATAAAGTGAGGCATCAAACCTCATGGCCAGGATCTACAAGCGGAAAAAAGAACAACTACATCTCCAGTCTGACAGCCCTTGCTGTAGAATTGTGTGGAATAATTGCACTGTAACATTTAGGCCCTCCCTAGCAAACAGGAAAAAAAAAGTAGCAATTTTTTGCTGGGCTTACATACAATTCTTACTAGAAAGCTGCCAACATGGTCTTCTGGGCCAGAATAGATAAGGCCTTTACAAGTCCCAAATACTTCCTGTTTACAATATCAACTTTAGCAATGCGTCTATGAAATTCATGATGGGACTGGAGGTAGAAAGGAGACAGAGCAAACATGCAGTGCATAAAGACATGTGAAACAATTGAATTTACGGGCTTCCTTTTGCAAATGCTCATTGCCTTGCAGTATGGCCCTGTGTGCACTGTATGTTTTTCTTCAGAAAGTGGGAGGGTAAATATGGTAAAGATGTAAAGTTGCTAACAAGGGCACCAGAGAGATAAGAGTTCAAATTAGTCTCATAGGGCAAGTCTAACCTAACTACCCCTCAATCTTAAAACCGTCTTAAGGCCCCATTATTCTACGCACAGTCCATAACTGTAATAGCTGACGTGATGAATTCCTGACAGTGAATGGAAAGCAAGAAGGACAAAGGTAGGACACAAGCTGGTGAGAAGGAAGACTCGAGTATCTGTAACTGCACTTTCATGAGCAGTAAGAGCTTTATGACAGATACTAGTAGCGGTATGTAGGTGAGGAATTCAAGTTTGTGAACCCACGGAAAAGTTAACTTTCCAAAGTGTGGTATGACTCCCACCTTCAAGTACCCTAGGAGTTATCATTCAACTGCTCATTCAGAATTAGAAGATTACATGGAGTATTGCATTTTGAGGGGATCCTCTTGGTTCCCTCCCTTTCCTCCTTATTTTCACCCTTTCATGGTGTTGTGCATGAGCCAAGATTTTGTATGTATATATAGAAAAAAAGATGTGGGATCAACTACCAGAGTTTGGCCTCTGCAGTCCAATTTTCTTCTCTATTTCTGTGCTTCACTCTGACCTTCAGGTTCCTTCCTTCTCCAGGATGCAGTTATGTCAGATCTGAGGCAATGGTGCGTCTCTAAGCAGAGCACGAGAAGCTGCACTTCGTGCTGACTGCACCCTTCACCCCCTCAACTGCTCATCTTAATTTCTCTCTCCACTCACACTACAAAAAAACCCCTAAAAAGGTAATTTACATTAAAAAAGCCACAGCCACGTTCACCTCATTAAATTTCCTCTTGTTGTGGTGCTATGTAACTCAGATTTTACATTACAAAAGCAGTTGTTGGGTCTGCATGACAACATTCAGAGCAACACCATGGTTAATGAACATACACACCCAAATCTGTGGGATTATTCATTGTCTGTAGCACCTGAGTTTCAAAGCTTGGATGGGGGGGCGGGGAGTGGGAGGTTAAGTTATATAAAAATGTTTCTCCCAAATTCTGATATTAAATGGGAGACGTCTGCCTAAGCATATGCTCTTAAAATATAAACTTCATTTTCATCACATGTACAGTTGCTAAAAAATCCACGGTGCCAATGTTCTTAAAAATGAGCAATGTCTTGAAATACTCTTCACTTCATGTAACTTAAGTTCACCTCCAAGAACCTAAACACTACTTGATGTGAAGCTGAATGGCAGCCACAACTGTTTCTGTGTCTTTGCTGGTCACCATTTATGTGCTGAATAAGTAACACTGAAAAGAGCCAAGTCCAAAAGTACTTTCTTCTCTTTAAGCTTCTTCTAGACTGGGTGCTGCTTTTGAAAAGAGACAAATTATTCAACAAGAGTTTCTTGTTTTACTGCAGAGTTCACTTCTGGGTTATGGTCCTCCTCTTCCATCAAAAAAAAGGTGGAATACAGGAACTGTAATCACTACAAAAGAAAAATGAACACCCATCAATAGAAGCAATAGAAATGTGCAATAACATATGTCCAAGCAGAAGAACACAAGGCAGAAGTGCAGCAAATTTATTGCAAGTGACCACAAAAATAAAAAAGCAGCAATTGGGTTTGAGATTTCTTGTCCAACTACAGAAAATCAGAATTTTTTGCAATGGTTACAATTTCTACCTAGTCACCCCATAACATTTATAGGTAACTGAGTTTCTCAGCTCTAACCTGGACATCATCTTTGTCCACCAGATCCCCAGAAACCTGCAGTGCTGCCCCACCCTCTTAACCATACTTGTGGTTATGAATGGGACACAACCACAGAGGCTGGGATCTCAAGTAACTGGTTCTTGTGCAGCATAAAAAAAAACAATAACCCTTACACTACACATCTGAGATTCAGCCAAGTATTGACTCACCCTCCATCTACCAATACTGTGGCAGGGGCAGAAAAGGCTAATCACTCCACATGCCTCCTCCCTCTTGATGCCCTCAAGATACTTCTCAACTGCTTGAGTCCAGCCAGGAGGCTATTCCCTCTTGGTTCCCTGACAGCAGAGCCAGGCAGAGAGGCAGAAATCCCTTAACAGAAAGTGAGACCTATCAAATAATCCCCCTTCATCAAGTTCAAGCTTCCTATCTGTGTACCTTAAACCCTTCCAACTCTGCCCCTTCCCTACTTATGCTCCCACATCAAGCCATCCTTTCAGCAATGCCAACCTTGAAAATCTATTTGCCTACTTATCCCACAAATATAGCTGTGCTTTCTTCCGTGCTGCCCTTCACGCACGGAATGCCCTTCATAAATTATCCTGTAAAACCACCACCTTCTCCCCTTCAAATCCCTCTTCAAGACTCACTACTGTAGTGAGACCTACAAGAAATCAGCCAACTAATGTTGACTAGGCTGCAGGACAGTTAGAGTTAGGGGATATCTTATTTAGAGATTGATCAAAACTGAATTCAGAACGACCCAGGAGTGCAACAATTAACTTATATGACTACATGACCTCACCATTACCCTTGTCTTTCCTTCTGCTTGCTTGTTTCAGTCTATCTTGAAGCAAGCAAGTGTAAGCTCTTTGTGGTAGGGACATGTCCTTCTATTTGTTTATATGGAACCTAGCACAAGGAGACCCTGATCCTGACTGGAACCTTTGGGTTCCACAGCAATATAAATAATATCCACCTCTTCTTGCTTGGGATTCCCAAATCAGAGAATAAAAAGGTGAGACAATAAAAGGAAATTTCAATCCACAAATTGAAAATTATCCATACACATGAACAGTTAGTCTAACAGGCCACCTGCCAGGATAACTGGGTAAAATCATCCCAAATGCTAAAAAGAACAGGAGCTATCTTTCACCAGGAACCCCAAGGTCACTGGGACAGTAGTAGTTAAGGATTAAACTTATGCTCAAATCTCTGGAACCGTAGCAACAAGAAATAAAAATCTCACAGAAGCTCCTCAAGGCATCAATCTAGATGAAATCAGCAACAGGATGGATACATTCATAAAACAGAAGCAACACTGATGATGACCTAATGGGAGCTTCCTGAACACCCTGCCCAGATGATCAACAGTAAAGTCACCCCAAAACAGCAACAAAAATGCTGATGTACCAATAATTGTTGCTTATTATGAAGTGTAGCTTTATCAATCCTTCTGTCCATATACTTATACAAGATGAAGGTAAGGTATCAACTGCTTCAGAGAGAACAATTTTTCTCCCCACTCTTCTGCACCCAGCACTGGAACCAAGCTCACATGGTAGTGACCTGCTGAGACTGCTAACGCTCTACTCACCTCCCTAAAATAGTAATGTGAGGTAAATGGGAGGAAAGGTCTATGAAACTCAGATGTGATTCAACACCATTCATTACTTTATTTTGAAGAGCACATTTATTAAGAGGGTGAATTGTGTAGGAATCATTTCACTTATTGACTGAAACAAGGATTAATAGATAACACCTTCTAATGAGCTTTGATAATAAAATCACCCTGAATTGGAAGGGAATTGGAAAAAAAAAACAAAACAAAAAAAACAGAACCATCCTCTGGATCTCAGTGAAATTTATGTTGTCCATTTATTTACATGGGGAGCTCTGAGACAAGGATCTTGCCTGGCTAGGTGCCTTGAAAGCCACCAAAGCATACCGGTTCATATTTCACAATAAAGCTTTAAGTTACCTTTCAGGAGAAAAGCAAGTCAGCAGAAATTAAACAGAACCCTGATTCTTCTGCCACTAATGCAAGCCACTGAGCCTTAAAATAAAATAAAATAAAAAAAAAAACTAGACCTGTTTAGCAAACAAAGGGGATGCTGCAGCTGCAAAGCGCCATATGTCCACTGTAAGAAAGTTCTTGTGGAAGTTTCACAACCTGCCACCATCCAAAGCACCTATGATTAGGACAGTTCAGCATGCACTAAAGAATGAGCAATGGCTAACATGCATCTAGAGACAATACCATCTCTGAACTATCCCAGATTATCAAAGCCTTACAAATCTGGTTTTATTTCACATTTATCTTAAATTATGGACTCCAGTAATACTGAATCAAAAAACTAAGCCTACAGAAAACTTTACACATATTAATGAAATGACCTTCACATCATGTCAACCTTCCTGCACAGTATTTTCATGTTGCTGTATCCTCTGTTTTGAATCTATGTCAGTTTTTAAAGGGCCCTGTCTCAAAATTGAAATTTGAGGGATTAAGAACTACGCACAGGAGTTAAATCTCCCCTCTGAAGTGTCTCATGGCTTAATTTTGTGCTACAAAAGGAAGAGTGCCAAATTACATTTACCTACCTCATCAAGAAAAATCACAGCAATAAGGTACAAGGAATCTAACTTTCCGAAAGAACAGATGAGAGAGCAGGAGTCATTTAAGGATTTATTTACATTGCAAAACCAAAGTCTTCATTTAATATCCAGAGTTAAGATTCCTAAACGGCAATGTACATACCCATCACATTTACAAAACCCAGGCAAATCAATCATTAGAACATTAAATCTTGCTTTGTCTACATAAACACATTCTACCAACTCCAAAGATACCTATTTACTAAAACAACCTACCTCCTGGGCAAAAATAACTACTCTTTCATCAGTAACCTCAAAATGCAAGTCCCTTTTCACAAATTATATACTCCACAACACATTCAGATGCACGTTAATATTTGTCATCTGTATGTTCACAAGTCAGTCAACATACATAATTTTAAATTAACTAATCTCTCTTGTTGAGCTACATACACAACTAATCTTCACAAATTTTTTTTTTACACATTACCAAAAAATATTTTAACTGACATTTCCCCATCACACAAACTCATTTCAGATTTAAGGTTATGCTAAATAACCTGTGCATTTCTTTATTCTTGAATAATATGCTTATTAAGTGAGCAGCTTCAGATATTGGATGTCCTTAACCATGTGATAGGTATGTCATTTAATTTGACGAGCCAAATGAGGTTGCTGGGGGGGGTTTATAATTGCACAAAGAAAAGGAGTACTAGTGGCACCTTAGAGACTAACCAATTTATTTGAGCATAAGCTTTCGTGAGCTATTCTAAGGTGCCACAAGTACTCCTTTTCTTTTTACTGTAAGGAGAGTGATCACTTAAGATGAGCTATTACCAGCGGGGGGCGGGGGGGAGAGGGGACCTTTTGTCATGATAATCAAGGTGGGCCATTTCCAGCAGTTAACAGGAAGTCTGAGGAACAATTGGGGGGGGGGGGGGGGAGAGAATAGTTTTACTTTGTGTAATGACACATCCATTCCCAGTCTCTATTCAAGCCTAAGTTAATTGTATCCAGTTTGCAAATTAATTTCAATTCAGCAGTCTCTCATTGGAGTCTGTTTTTGAAGTCTTTTTGTTGTAATATTGCGACCTTTAGGTCTGTAAACGAGTGACCAGAGAGATTGAAGTGTTCTCTGACTGATTTTTGAATGTTATAATTCTTGACATCTGATTTGTGTCCATTTATTCTTTTATGTAGAGACTGTCCAGTTTGACCAATGTACGTGGCAGAGGGGCATTGCTGGCACATGATGGCATATATCACATTGGTAGATGTGCAGGTGAACGCGCCTCTGACAGTGTGGCGGATGTGATTAGGCCCTATGACGGTGTCCCCTGAATAGAGATGTGGGCATAGTCGGCAACAGGCTTTGCTGCAAGGATAGATTCCTGGATTAGTGGTTCTGTTGTGTGATGTGTGGTTGCTGGTGAGTATTTGCTTCAGGTTGGGGGGCTGTCTGTAGGCAAGGACTGGCCTGTCTCCCAAGACGTGCGAGAGTGATGGGTCATCCTTCAGGATAGGTTGTAGATCCTTGATGATGCGCTGGAGAGGTTTTAGTTGGGGGCTGAAGGTGGAGGCTAGTGGCGTTCTGTTATTATCTTTGTTGGACCTGTCCTGTAGTAGGTGACTTCTGGGTACTCTTTTGGCTCTGTCAATTTGTTTCTTCACTTCAGCAGGTGGGTATTGTAGTTGTAAGAACGTGGGATAGAGATCTTGTAGGTGTTTGTCTCTGTCTGAGGGACTGGAGCAAATGTGGTTGTATCACAGAGCTTGGCTGTAGATGATGGATCGTGTGGTGTGGTCTGGGTTATTCATTTTTACACATTTATTTTTTCTTGTGTAGGTAAGTTTAAAAGTTTGGTTTTTTTTTAAATATAAATGGAAGGAACATGTTATCAGGTTTTTAAATTAAAAGGAGTGGTACTGACCAAGCTAGGGTAGGGTAAGGAAACATTCCTGTTCATAGTTTAGATACAAAGTGCGTGTCCCCAAATAAATTCCATGTCCTATGAACACATCATGCTTTCACAGTTCACATATTTAGGGTTCTTACTGTACTAGGTCAAATATAGCAACACTACTGATTTACTCCTTTCAAAAATTGATATGAATGGAAATAAAAATGATCAGTTTGCAATAATTTCTTTTCTCTCTGTTGGGATATATAATCA